ACAAGTTTCAGGAAATCTGACACCATCTTCTGGCCTCTGCACATATGTGGCATACACTCACACATACACATAAATAAAAATAAAAGTAAACATTCTTTAAAACTTCAATAAATAATGGATCTCTTAATAGCAATTGTCTCCCTGAAATGTGAGCCATCACCACTGAACCAAAGAATTCCTAGCAACTTGGTGAGTTACATGCTAATTCCATAAACAACTACCAAATTCTCACTCACACTTCTTAAATGCTAATATAAAAAGGTCTCATATTCCTTATGAGAATAATAATTCTTTTTATCAAGGCCCTCCAGATGCCCAGAAATGTCACATTTTAAAAACCTGTCATTTTAATTCCCAAACTAAAGTTATTTCAAAAAGCACAGCTGAAATAAATCTGAATTACTTTAAACATTTTTAGGAGAACAACTACCATGGAATTTCCTCCCCCCTTTAGTTCCAAGAGCTTAAATGAAACATTCATGCATTAAATTCAAAGGCTGACTGTCAAATAACCTCACTTTAATAAAAATTTGAATTACGTGCCTTAGGGCATTATTAAATATCAAATAAAAAGAACACATCCATAAATCTGATTTCCCAATATAATTTTATGTAGAACTATGAATACATTTATATTATACATTTCAAGACAAAAGGATAAAAAATGCATTCAGAAAAGGACAAAATCAGAATTAGAAATTTTGAAGGATTTCCCTTTTTGAAAAAAAAAAAAGATATCTCAGTTGTAATTAGCTAAAAACATAGAAAGAGCAAACACCACTTTTCTGTCAAATAATTAAGGATCTGGAATATACATAATCTCACAAACAGTATGAGATTTCTGAATCTGCATGTGAGAAAGGCAGACAGAGGGACAAAGGACACACAGAGAAAAATGACAGTTCTTCAAGTACCCAGAAGCAACTCTGGTCTAGACTAATTATGAATCAAACACCCAAGCCAGTAATATTATGTCATTAAAAGTGTCATTTATAGTTAATTATATTCACAAGAAAGTGCCAACTATGGCCTGAAAACCCCTTAAGTTGCCGCTCACCAGCCCCCTTGCACCTCTCTGTGACCCTGTGACAGGGCCTCTTCCTGTCGTCCTATGTCTCCACCACTAGGGTCTTTTCTCAGCTCCACTGGGGTCTTTTCCCAGCTCCACTGGGGTCTTTTCCCAGCTTCACTGCCACTTGTACCCTTCTTGTTATTACCCTATTCCTCATTTAAAAATGAAAGCAAGGCCCAAACAGGTCCAATCTATAAATCTGGACTCCCTTCCTCCATCCCCTTGGAGCATGCAAAACACCTCTTCTTAACAAAACTGTCTTCCAGGTGTGCTCGGGGTTACAGCCTTCCAAGTTTTCAAGTCTTCAGTAGCAAGATCTTGTTTCCCAAGAACAAAGTGCTCAGCTGCATGCTCTTCTCCTTCCCCACACACTCAGACAAGTTCTGGTATTTCTTGTGCTCGAAATAAAATCTGTCTCGGCATTCTGCCCCACCCAACCCAGCTGATCATGATAAATACATAAGGTATCTGTGTATAAAATGTCACAATGGATACTATTAATCTGTGTGCATGACATGTTGATAGCTTTTTTAGGAAGATCAATAGAGCTAGACAGTGCTAGTGCCTGAAAGGACTGTATGTAGTTTTCACTTCTGATGGGATTGAAAGTACTTTGAAAAACCACTGGGTAGCCATTTATAAAGTCAAACAACCACCCCTTTAAGAAATGCCCAGGGTGTGGGACCTGTAGCCCTACCCCTCTTTTAACCTCAGTCATGGCAACCTGCACCTTTCATTGCCACACCACTCCCACCAGCAGGGTGGAGCCCTCTTTGACCTCAGCCCAGGTACTGCTAAGAAAAAGAAGTCTCCCAATCAAGCCGTGTACATCAACTTTCCAGCTTCACTGTTCAAGAAATGGACTGACTGCTTTAGGCGATGAACAGCCTGACTCTCCTGTCTTGTGATTAACTACACTGTAAATTCCCATATAAGATTTCATAAACACTTAGTGAAATAATCCATCTGATACATTTGAATGCCATATATTTTTTCCTCTATGCCAAATACGTCCATATTTTACACAGACTAATTTTCTGATGCTTATTTATGACTTTCAACTTGACTCAATGAAGAAACACCAGGAGATTAGTAAAGTTCACCACTGGGTTTGCATGTGAAGGTGTTTACACAACACTAGACCAGGTGGGCTCAGACCTACCCAGTGGATTAATCCTTTGGTAGATTCATAATATGATGACATTGATGGAGAGGGTGAGAGGTAGGGATGATGCCTAGTTGGAGGAAGCAGATGACTAGAGAATGTCCTTTGGGCTGTATCCTGTCCTGGCCTCTTCATTATATGTGCTTCCTGTCTCCCAGGAAAGCCCTCTATCACAAGACTCTAGTACCATCATGTTCTGCCCAAATAGAGTGGAGCAACCATGGCCTGAACTCTTTGAAACGCTAAGCTAAAACAGCTCCTTCCTCCACAAGTTGTTTCTGAGCAACGAGAACACTAACCAGTGCATCTCTACCCATGAAATTTTAGCAACCTTCCTATCAGCCCACTATTATGATAGACAGGTATCTCTTTATTGGCATACTCCAACATCAACTCTTCATCTTTCTGATCCCAAAAATGACCTTTGCCAGCTTTCTTGCAGTTACTCAATTGCATCCTACCCATGATTTCCTAAGGCCCAAATCTCAGCATTTAACCTGACAATTCCATCTCCCGCCATCTTTACCCAGTTCATCACTGGGTATCATCTATAATTTCTATTTCCTATGCCTTACCTACTCTCCATCACTACTGCTTTTAGTGTAAGGTCCAGGCCTCCATATCTATAATCTTGGTTACCCAACAGATTTCTAAACTCTTTTACTCCTGCTCTGGTCCACTTCAATTCAATCTATTCAATTTCTTCTCAGAGTGTACTATTAAAAAGAAACACAGGATAAAGTCAGGCCCCTGAATCAAAGTCTCTACAGGTTCATGATATGTCCACAATAATATAAAGATACCTTAGTGTGACTGATAACATCTACCACTTGGGTCTTAACCTACTTCACCCTTTATTTCTATACTCTAAACACACCAGGCCTTCCTTCAGGGACCTTAATGCACCCATATCTTACCTCCTCCATGGCAAGCACACCTTGAGGCCTTTTCAGTAAGATATTTCTCTTCCTAGAAGTTCCTTTGGCATTTCCTTAGTTCTTTTCATTCACATAATATATTAACATTTGCAACTGTGCATTTTTGAGTCCTATTTCTCTACTGTCAGACTTCTTACCTCAGACTCTAGGATCTATGAGGGCAGAAACCATGAATGTCTTTCCCTGGGTACACCCACAATCAGTCAGAAAACATTCTCAATAGTGATTTTGGACTTAGTTCATTCTAGCTCTTCAACTCATCTATTTTGAGATTTGGCCTAAAGCACCCTTGGACTTTCTCTTTTTAATGTCTGAATTACTTAAATGTCTTCCCATTCCTAACATGGTGGACTTGCTGGACCTTCATCTTCTCACATTAGAAGAAGCAGAAGGTTAACTATACTGGCCAGCTGAGAAAGGACAAGAACTGAGTCTAAAGCTCCCCATGGGCAGTTCTGAGAAACTTCCAGTTGCCCTGAAGTCAAGCCAGGTACAACATGTGATGTGTTATAGTGGGTTCATAGTGAAACAAAACAATTTCGACCCTTAGAGGTTTGAAATACAATAAAAAAAAATAAGAAACATAAGTAGCTAAGTGGAAACGGGGTCATGAAATGAAGTCTGCTTTAAGGGGGAAGCGGGGATACCTATTGAAACCAGTGTTTGAGCTGAGCCCAGGGCAGTTATGGGGTCAGTAGGCGAAGGATGGGTATACAACACAGAGTGAGCAAAGCATACTCCAGAGAATAAGACTCTACTGTACAGAGTAATAACAGAGACAAGAAAGAAGACTGAAGAACACATGACTATCACCTTTGGAAATCTCCATCAACAGTGGCCAGGTCATGAGACTGTAAGCCCGACAAGGCCTGAGATTTCCACTCAGCTGTGACTTCCTCATTCCTAAATATATACAACTCTCATATCATGCCATAGTTCATCATCAGTCCCAGCTACATCCTGCTTCTCCAGGTACTGTTCTGGCAGATGTGTCCCCCTGATGGGAAGCAGCTGGCTGCCACAATGTCTCTGATCTATGCACACTTAGGTAGCTTACAAGGTAAAGAAAGATTCCAATACACAGTAATCTTTGCATATATTTATCTTTCCCATGTTTGTGAGTTCCCTAAGGTTAAGTAATAAATATGCTGAATTCAATTCAATATATTGACAATCAATAAAATAATGTACAATATTAAAACAGCTAACATAAGCTTCTTGACTTTGCAAATAAAAAGAACTTCCAAGAAACAAACAAAAGAGAGTAATGGACAGGAGTGATGTGACCAAAGTATGTCATATGTATGAAAATAACAAACACAGACCCATTATTATGTACAAGTAGCATATGCTAATAAAAATCATTTCTACAGGACACAGGACTTTCACTCCTGCCAGACCATCCCATCATATACCAGAGAGCAAGATGACCCTACAAGGTGATAAACAGGAAGGCTCATTTTTCTAGGCTTCCTTTCATGTTCTTTGGTCAGAGGAAGTAGCTGCTGCATTTTCAGGAGATGACAAAGTGAATACCAAAGATACCACTGAGAATCCCTGCATCTGCATTCCAGGTGCTTTTCCTTATGAAAGCCACTATTAAAGCAGAAAGTGGGATTAAGGGATGTTCAAGTGGAAAATAAATGAATCATATATTTTTTAAAAATATTGCATGAAACAAAAAGGACCACCTGACTTGTCATTGATGGGGCACAAGAATGCACCATAAATTGATTAAAATGAAGTGTATTCCAGCAGTCAGCCTACGGAGTGACTTTGGGATGCTGGGTTAAGGCAACTCATTTTCTTGTCCAATCTCACATACCCTGATGCAGATGGGTTTGATCATAGTCTTTCTGGCTACTGAAATGCGGCTCGAATGACTCTGTCACTCAGGGGCTGGGTAGGTCGGAAATTGTCTCCCAAAATCCCATCACAGCCTTCTACAAGTTCTGCCCCCTTAACGTGCGTTCTCAGCCTTCGGAATTCTTCTATCTGAAAAGAAAAGCAGAATAAAGGCAATTAGTCACTGACCGCACATTATCAAGTTCAGAGTTTCATAAACAACCCAAACTATGAATAGATGATAGTATAAGAGAAAAAAATGAAGGGTGAACTTCAAAAAGAGAAAACCAGAGCTGGAAAGAGCTCAGTGGTTAAGAAAGAATGCTCCCCTTGTTGAGGACCCAAGTTCAGTGCCCAGCACTTATATTAGGCAGCTCACAACGGCCTAAAACTCCAGCTCCAGGGATGTATCCCCCACCTCTGGCCTCCGAGGGCACTGAACTCATAGCACACACACACACACACACACACACACACACACACACACACACACACACACACCACACACACCACACACACACATACATACATGCTTGCACTTTAATGATAAATTAAAATTTTTTAAACCAGGAAAACAGATTTGGTTGTTCCAGACCTAAGGATATGAGACAAGGCCCTTAAAAGAAGACAACAGGAATCTGGGTAACTCCAACTCCATAGAAACCTACTAGATTTATTAATGTGAAAATCCTATCACACAAATTTTGGTGTCAGCTTAAAGCACAGAGAGAGAAAGGGGTGAACAAGGAAGTAAGTGTTCTTAAATTTTTCCCAAGTACATTCCTAGCCACCATGTCACTGTGTGTCAGCACTGGTTAGAGCTGCTACAGGAATTCATGGGCTCCTGGGTTATCTTTGCCAGATCGTCATCTGACAGAGAATTATAGTGCCTAGAATATATAAAGAACCCCCCAAAAGACTAAACATTAAGAAAATAAACAACCTGTCAGGCAGTTGTTTATTAATAAATAGGAGGCAGAGGCAGGAGGATCACTGTGAGTTGGAGGCCAGCCTGGTCTACAGAGTGAGCTCCAGGACAGCCAGGACTGTACAGAGAAACCCTGTCTTGAAAAACCAAAAATAAATAAACAAACAAACAAGGAATGAAGGAAGAAAAAGAAAAGAAAGCTAATTTGAAAAACGGCCTGTGGGGACTGGAGAGACAGCCCAGCAGCTAAGAGTACAAACTGTTCTTACAGAGGATCCAAGTTTAGTTCCCAGCACCCGCATCAGAGGTTCAAACCCACCAGTAACTGCAGCCCAGAGGACCTGACACCCTCTTCTAGGCTCTAAGGGCATCTGCACTCACATACACATACCCACACACAGACAGACACATAATTTAAAAATAAATTAAAATCGTTTTTAAGATGGGCTATGAACTTAACAGAGAATTCTCAAGTGTGCGTGTGCGTGCATACATGTATGTGTGTGTGTGTGTGTGTGTGTGTGTGTGTGTGTGTCTAAGAAACACCTTAATAACATCCATAAGACTCAACATCCTTAGCCATCAGGAAAATGGAGATTAAAACCATTTTAAGATTCCCTCTCTCCCAAGTTAGATCATACTGCCATCGTCAATAATACAATCAACAAACACTAATGTGGATATAGCAAAAGGGAATTCTCATGCACTGTTGATGGGGGTGTAAAGTAGTGCAGCCATGTTGTAAATAAATCCCGATGTTGGAAAAAAAAACTAGAAATAGAACTACCGTATGGCCAAGCTATACCATTCCTGGGCACAAACCAAAGAACTTTATATCCTACTACAGACACATGCACACATCCATGTTTGTTGCTGCTCAATTCATAATAGCTAGGAAATGGAATCATACCAATGCATGAATAAGAAAACTGTGATACATATACACAATGGGATATTACTCAGTCATAAAGGAAAATGACATCTGCAATGAGACTGCAAAGATCATACTGAGTGAGGTAGCTCAGACCCAGAAAGATACAAGAGGAGGATGGATAGGCTAAATGTGCTGGGTTGAAAGTAATTGACCCCCCTAATCTCATAGGGAGTGGCACTATTAGGAGGTGTGGCTTTGTTGGAGAGGGCATGGCTTTGTTGGAGGAAGTGTGTCACTGTGGGGGCAGGCTTTGAGGTTTCCTATGCTCAGGATACTGCCTGGTGTCTCAGTTGACTTCCTGTTGCCTGAAAGATATATGACTTTCAGCTACTCCAGCACTACACCTCCCTTCATGCCACCGTGCTCCCTGCCATGATGATGATGGACTGAACCTCTGAAACTGTAAGCAAACTCCCTCAATGAAATGTTTTCCTTACAAGAGTTGCTGTGGTCATGGTGTCTCTTCACAGCAATAAAAACCCTAACTAAGACACTGACATAAACTAATTATGGATGAAACGGTCTTATGAAAACACACTAGTGAATAAGCTAATTTTAAAATACAACTTTAAAACAACGAATTCAAGTGGAGGTACCTTAAATGGGGTGGGCATGGCCACTCCCAAAGGATATGGGTCATTAAACAAAACTTGCAGTGTAAGGCATGGGACACCTCCCCACAAGTTATTGGTCAGGAGGGCACCCAAAAGGATATTGTCACTGCCCTTGGACACCCACTAGAACTGCAAGGTGAGACCTTATTGCTGAACACACCGCATTCTGTGACTGCAGGCCAGAGAGACGTCTATCCCAATCGGGCCAGAGAACTCCCCTGCTCACTAGCACTCACAGTGCTGGATGATGCTCACAGCTGAGGGTAAAATGACATTACTGTTCTCACACAGCATGGGAGGCTGCATGCTACAGTACTGACCGGCCAGGACAGATGTCCCCACTAGGGTCATAGTGGCACAACTGTTACAGGGTAACCAACTGCACACACAGCAATCAGGGCAGAGGCACACGACTGCCCAGGTGCTGAAAAGAAGGGGACATCTTTATTAACCTCCCATCCCCACCAAGGCTCAAGGAACGTCACAGAAGAGGAGGCAGAAAGAATGTAAGAGCTGGAGGATGGGGAGGAGTGATGTGAAGTGTGTCTTCTGGACATGACACAGCTCTTACTTTCATGAGTCACAGTAACTATGGTTGCCCACACAGACATTTTTAAGATCAAGCCATTCAATATAGTTGGGGGATGGACCCCTGGCCCTTCACCTTACTGAGGTGCTGCTGGTAGTTGTTAGCTGCTGAAGAAGGGAGAATTGCTCTTCTTTGAGAGTGTGGCCACAAGTAGGTTTCCCATGCTCTAATGGATGGCCCTGAACCCATGCACATATGAGTAGCACTAATTGTATTTATCCCAATTAGGTTATCACAGAAGAGGAGGAGGAAGAATAAATGAAGAATTGTTGGAGGGTGAGTATATGACGGTATTCCATTATATCCATGTATGAAATATTAATAGAGTAAAATAAATGAATAAAAGAACTCATGGTTTCCTTCATCAAAAGACTGCCCCTGCCTCTTGTCTAGCCCTGTGACTTACCTGTGACATGTGGAGAGGTTCCCAGATTTCTGAGGACCTTGCTCTGACCTGTGAGGTTTGAGAGTTCTAAGCATCTGTAGTCTACCAGATGGGAATGTGAGAAGAATGTAAATAGCAAGCAAAAACAATCATGTGCATTACCCAAGCTCACTCCACCTGTCACCTGTTAACGCACGGCATGTCACTTCACTAAAATGCTACACAGCAATACAAAACGGGCATGCTTCACTCTTTCCACAGAGGAGGAAACTGGGGCTAGAGACGCAAAGAATATCTCCAAATTAGCTATTGCCCCAAATCCACCTGATTCTTCCCAGCTCCACAACACCTCATTAAAGTTCTGGTCAGATCAGTACAAACTGAGCCCTGAATGTCCCAGGTACTGAGCACTGTGGTCTGAACACCCATCCAGTCAACATCTTTGTACCAGAAGACTGTGGCTACAAAGGTCTTTAACACAGAAGAAGTCTGTCTTCCTTAAAGAGAAGCAATGCAGGAGATCGACTAATTCAGGGCTTCACACTAAAAGCCCAGACTTAAAAAGGGCCAGGAAATCTCTAAATGACAGCAAAACCCTACACATGTGTTCTCCTAAGTCCCACAGCATTATAATTAAGGCCACTCCCATATGTGTTGGAACACAGAGCTGGGGAAAATTAAATGGGTTAGATTATAAGCCTGGTTACAAAGATGACTCGTAATGTTATATTTTTCTATGTGTCCAAATACTGATTGATTTTTCTAGTGAGGAAAAGTCTGATCCAGCTGGAACGGCCCTGTTGATTTGCTTTTTTCACTATGCCTACATACTGTGTTTACATAGCGGTGCCAGCCAGGTAAGCAAGGCGCTACTAAATCGACATTGTTCCCCCACTAGACCTTCTCAGAGTCTTACACAGTACCCTCTGCTTATGGCAACGGAAGCTTTCTAGAACTGAGGCTTCGTCAGAATCCTCTGTGTCAGTGTTTGCTTTTCCCCTTCATATTTGCTCCTAAGGGTGAAAATGGAGAGACCCTGGGCGGCACAGAATCCTCCACTATCTGAAAGAGAATACAGCGGTGACAGAGTGGGCTTGCACCCGAATGACTGCCATTCTCTCTTGGCTCTGCTACCTGGGGCCTAAATGACCAAATGACATCACCTCTTTATGCCCCCATTTTTCCTGTGCAGCAGAGATGACAAGGATGGCGATAACACAGGGTGACATGAAGAGTGCAAGAAGAGCCATGAACAAGCACTCAGGAGTGCTCCGGCAGTGCTCCGGCAGTGCTCTGGCAGTGCTCCGGCAGTGCTCCGGCAGTGCTCCAGCTGTGCTCCGGCAGTGCCCCGGCAGTGCCCCGGCTGTGCTCCAGCTGTGCTCCAGCAATGCCCTGGCAGTGCTCCGGCGGTGCTCCACTGACCACAGTTACTAACAAGCCCTCCCTCCACCATGCAACTTCCTTATATGACAGACCTTTAACAATGGAGACAAATCCTTAGCTGAAACTGACAGTCAATCAATCCAGCAGGAAATCTTAAAGTCCCACCTCTCCGCACTCACTTTAAACTAATGAGGAAACTGTAAAACTTCATGACCCATGGGGAGGGCCGGTGAGCAGCAGTGTGGTCTAGAGTCTTAACCGCCTAAGCACATCACAGGAACTGTGCCATTTTTCACTAACTTTGAAGTTTGTTTTAA